CCAAGAGCATACGGTGACCAGAGCTACGATGGACTCTGTAAGCAGTTTAATCTCACGCATGCAGCCTGTAATCACAGTCAGGGCCTCTTTCCATCACCGGACGCATCCACCAAAGGAAAATCCTGGTGCACACAGGCACGATCCATGGCTTCTGGGGCCATTTGAAGAAGTTTTGGCCTAGTTTTTTGGCTTCAAAAAAACAAGCCTGGCAATGCAGTATGTCAGATCCTTCCAATGGAGACATGAGGGCCAGAACTTGTTCGTCCAAACCGGCAAAGCCGTTGCAAAGCTTTAACACTTGCCTCCCGACGGCTGGCACAACAAAGCAAAAGTCCCACTGCATTGCCCTGCAAGCCCAAACAACAAAATAGACCAAAAATAATGCAAAAACCCAAGGAATCGCAATGACGACCTCAAAAATAGGCCTTCTTTTAAAGCTGCTAAAATACGCATTTCGCCTGGGCCTAGGCGAAAGGCTACTTTCTATTAAAAATAAGGTCCGGTTTCACCGGCGGCGGGATATTTGTCTGGTGGCTTTGCCAAAGCCAAGCTGTTCTCTGCAAGCTACATGCCTCTAGGTTGATTGCAGCCTGCAAACGTTATCGCAAAGTCGGCTATGCCGATAGAGGCCACAGACATGAGATAATGCGTACTGGTCAAGCTCTCGGTTTGCAATCCCCAAAGAGAACCTATCGTTGCTGGATCCACCCAGCCCAATGTCTTGAAATATGAAAAATTAAGGACCATTCTTGAAATCAGATGCAAGCTTGTGGAAGTCTCAAGTTCATTGATATCTACAATAAATTTGAACTGTTGCAAAAGAGAAAACGGCAAAAGTAGATCATGGGGGTGGCAACCAACAACTTCTACACGGTACTGGTGGTCTGCGTGCAAACTTTCACTCGGCCCGAATTGTTGGAACATGTTGGTGCCGGCTTGTGTGCTGGCTCAGCATTCCATTCACATGTTGTTCGAAAGGGCAGTGACGTGCGCGGGCATTGTATAGCTTAGGTCTCATGTAGCGGCATGGGGCAAGCATGACGTCGAGCAATGGATCAATGCACACAACCCTGCACGCTGATTGTTGTAAGTGTGCTCCTGACACAACTTTGGCAAGGACGTGGAGCATAAACCTTGATGAATTTACTTGCCTCTGCGTCAAGCAGCTGCAAATGTACATGCCTAAAAAAAACACACTGGCGCGTACGTGATGCTGGTACAAATTTGTGTGCATGTGCATTCTAGCGGCGGCGCATGCAGGTGAGCTCTGGTTTCTTTGCCCTGAGTTTTCTGTTATGACTGTTCATAAATCAACCCATTTCTATGCATGATGTGGTAAACCTAACCTTGAACATAAAGGAGGCAAGGAAAGTCTCACGATGACTACTTCTGCATAGTCTATCATTCATAATGCGCTCTTCAAGCGGGGGCCGGGGCCACCAAATAAGCTTATCATCCTCTGGGCGAAGCAAATCATTTTGCAACATCCTACACATCAAGAAGAGGGATAACTGTTGTGAATCTGGCTTGACGTTCCACCTCAAAGTAGTTTATCGCTTTGACGTGGACAGCGGCAAAGGAGCTGCAGCCCGCCAAACTTGTATGTTTTCCGAAGCGGTTCCACTCCTCAATACTACACAAACCTAGAGATCTGGCGGAGGCATCAAGATTCAAGAAAGGAACAAACTTCTTGAGACTCTAACCCAAAACCATGACCCCTGGACCCAAAACCCCAATCCCTACCTATCCCTAGACCTTCATCCGAAACCGCTGAAACCCCATCTCAAACCCTGATTGTTAATTCCAACTAGCGCGCAGGGTTCTGAATTGTGCGAAGTTTGGGCGGCATGAGTGCCGATTTGCGAAGTTCCGCAGCCTGAATAGGTTTCAAGTGTGTGGCGGGCCTGATAAAGCCCTTTTATCTGAGCTACCATGGCCTGAATCCTTGGCCCTGTTGGTTTTGATTGAAGGTTGCAAGCCAAATTTACTTGGGGGGTCCCTCTCCTGACCATATTTCATGTGGAGAAGTCTAGGACGCTAATCGCTCCCACCTGGTAATGAACATCGTCCCCTGCTAATAACAAAACCACCTGGGGGGGGTTATTAGAAATGGGATTTTACTGTAAAGAAGTACAGGGTCCCCATTCGGTTATCATTATCAATCCAATACAGAAACAACCATTCCGTAGTCAGTTCCATTTAATCCTGGTCACATGTACATGCGTTCCTTGATAAACAAACCTTCCTAAAGCACAAACATGAAAGCAAGGAGATCTCTAATTCTAAGTAACTCTCCTTTGGATTTCTTTGTACGAGCTCCTATATACATCTCAAAGAAACCTGAAAAATAAGGTGGGCTTGCTCCTGATTAGATTTCTTTAGGAAACATTTTCAGCTAAGGAGGGAGGCAGCCTTTGATGTTAAGTGTGTAGTGCTCTTTTATACAAATTTCTTTATAAAAACTTTTTTTAGGATAACAAAATGGTTAGGATATCAAGGGCAAAGCGGTTCTCATTCCAAGAAGATTCCCAATAGATTCTGTTGTATAAGCCCTTCATAAAACCTAGAAAATCAAGGGGGTCTCTAACTCTTTGGACCTCAGAAGTCCCCCCCTGCCTCATGATTATGGAAATCCTAATTGGCCCCTTTTACATGTAGTCTTGGCCCTTTCGAAATGTTCTTCCAAGATTTTTGGTTCTCTGGCAATGGGATTTATTGTCAGAGGGGGGTAAGTTAGGTGAGAAGGGATTAATCAGAAACCTTCAACGGAGCAGCCCTAATCCAAAAAAAGATGGATCGCTCGACCCTGCACCCTAACCAACATTTCCCAAAACCCCCACGCACCAGTCCCTCTCAGGTGCGGCCTGCTCTGCGCTCAGGCGGTCGCCTGCTCTCACTTGCAACAGCCGGAGGATGAAGTCCTCTGCACATTAGGGGTTGAGGGTAGAGTTCATGGTAACTGGGTTCACGGAAGTAGGCCCAGGTATTGACGGGGTTTGGGGCGTAGAGGTAACGTCTTCTGAGATTCTGCCTTCCTGTTGCGGGTTTCCAGAGACCGTCTGTATGGGTTCAGCAAGAATTGTTTCGGATGCTTGCAGAATTTCTTAAACTCTAAGTCATCGTGAGACGACCGACCTACCTACACTCCAATTAGGGCCGCCGCACAGAAGGCGCTCGTAGCTATCAGATCAGCAAGCCCAGCGGGCAAGGAAGGCGAGCCACCGGCTCATAAGCGTGGCAACCGCATCTCGCTCGGCCGCTTAATGCTGGACCACACACAGTGCCTGAAGGCCCAAGCCAGCCGACGGGCTCGACGAAGAACAGCTCAGCGGCTGATCTATAATCCCCCGCGAAAAATTGAATTTGTAGCTCCCTTCGTATGAAAAAGGAACTCCCACTACTGTTAAGTTGTAGACAGGTACCACCAAGAAGTTATGGAAATGTCACATCAGATTTCCGGAAAGTTCAAGGCTGGGGGTTTTGATCTGTCCTGAAATCCAAGCCTGATGGAGCCACACAAGCACGTTTTTTCAAGCGCACCTGTGTCCCCAACTGCTCTGAATTTTGGGTGTAGGCCTTACTTATGTATAAATTCTCAAAGATATGGTCCTTGGTATGCCGTCTTTATCGTCACGCCCGTAGGATGTCCAAAGAAGATCTCCGTGTGACTTGGCCATTATACTGATGCTATTTGGGTGGGTATATATGAGTCTCACTTGGCTATTTGTTTATCGATGTATGTGTTTACCTCTTTGTTTATCGCTTCTTCTACAGGCCTCACGAACCTCCGGAATATTAATCTCTCTTCGTTTGCTGGGCATGCGCACCCCAAAGCGGGTGTGTACCGGGGCCGTGCCCCGGGCTGCGATGAGCAATTTCTTGCAGCGGGCGAGTTACGGAGCACTTGTTTGGAAGGACTTCGACTTGATTTCCCATCTTTGCCCCACCCCTTCTTCGTCTTGTTGTGCCACGCACTACATTGATGTTCTTCCTTGCTCTGGATTGCGGAGCCTGCGGAGCCTGCGGAACAGAGTCGGAGAACAAGTGGCCATTGTCCGTTGTATTGCAGCAGTGTCAGAGCGACAAGGACGACCTCGCACATCCCAAACCAATTCGAACAACTGAACCAGAGGAAAAGCTTCTTAGTGCTCACGCTTCTTGCTGTACACAGCCATCTCCTATGCTCCCAGTGAAACCTGCAGCTACCCCCATGATCAGCTTTCCAGCCCCCGCATGCCGAAGCGGGGTTTAATTCAAAATGTGATCAACCTCCACTGCCACAACCTACGACACGAATCTGTCAGGACTCCTTTCAGCCCTTTCAGCAGCCTTGGCTCAAATCCACAACATTCCTAACAGGAACAAAAATTTGGCTGGACACTCGACAGTTGAGCTTATGATGAATTGCCACACCAAAGCCCCTGCACACGCTTCACACGGGTTCAGGCTTCCCATGGGAACAATGATGTGTGGGGCTCCTAGCCGTAGCTAGGACCAGGAAATGGAGACGACCCTGTACAAGTTGAGGTGTTTTCTGCACAGCAGTTGAGACGGAACACATTTTTGTCCTCGCACAAGCCCGTACACACGTACGCAGCAATCCCAAAAACCAAGCATTTCACTGTGCAACCACCCCAAAACAGGAACTCGTCAATTCACACTACAGCCCCGTCTAAGACCCTGACAAATAAAAAGGCATCAGTGGTGGAAATAGGGTATGTGGTATTCCCTACGTGCTGCGCACTGTACTCACTAAGAGTAAGAATCCATGCGCATTACCTATCTCCAGAAGAATTTTCGAACATGTGTGTCCATATGTTGTCGCTGCACGTTATAAACCTTCTTATGGGGACTCCCAACAAATTATCACCAATTACAGGAAGCGCCCATAGAAACCCTGTGCAGGTGTTGAGGTGGCCTGCGCCCCGGCTGATACAGCGCGCCACCGATCATCAGCAAAGCTTACGTCCCTCTCGACAATCTGGCGGTACCTTACAGCGGATTGGCTGGCAGGGCTTGGAGTTCAGGATGTTAGCCCTGAGATGCAACATCTTCTGCATGGTTCATTTGGATTTCATTACCTTTCATGTGTAATGATGGGGAGCTGGTGAACCATTGGACAAAACTCTGATTTGTGTCATGACATTAGTTCCTACTTTTTGACCATGCAAGACTACATGCAGATGCACCTTCATAGGGGCCCAGGATGCAGGGTTTAGACTGCTTAGGGCCATTTGAGGCAGCTGGGCTCTTTTTTTTTTGCCAGAGAAATCAGCAATCCCCCATGGATCCCAACGCCCCCTTCGTTTCTCCCTGTAAAACAGGAACCCTGTCTAAAGACACGCGGTACCTGCAGTAGTAAGAAATTCTTGCTGTCCAATGTCCTATGCTGCTCTACATTCATTCCTTTCCAACCCATGTTTAAAAACCATTAGTCCTTGGCAAGTTCTACAATGAACACCCCTAAACCATAAAACCCTTGACCTGGGGCAGCGGCAGTTTGTGCAGCACAGGGTTGAAGAAGGGCAAGGCGCCGCTCAGAACGACAAAGGTGATGACCTATAGTCGTATCCTCATTACGAGTAGGTATGGTCTGGTTCTGCTGGGAGCGTTTTCCAGAGTTCTGCACAAGCTTTATCCCAGGAGGCAATAAAATTTATCGCTCAGGCTTTTGGGGGCTGTATGTAATGATTGGCATGAACCGATATAACGAGGCAGGAGTTACCTAAATTGGATGACTTACGTAGGACTCTGGGATTCAGGCGTCTGCTTGGGTATTGGTTTAAGGGATGCATTAAAGAGTATACGAATTAAGGTAGACAACTGTCCAGTTATCGCTCATGCAGGATCGTGTTGAGAAATTCACATCTCTTCAAATTTCGGACATCCCCGAAAACATCGTCAGAAAAAGCACACTACCAGATTCACATTTCTTGGCAGGAGGCCTATCTCGCAAATCAGGTGTATGTCTCGGAAGAAAGTCATCCCACACGCCATGCAATAGCCAAAGCATCCTTCGCTCGCAGCCTACACCCAAACCCCCCTGCCCAAAACCAGGAAGCCTATCACGAGCAAACCTTCATGTTTGCAACGCCCGATTTTGATGGCATTTGATAAGCCCCAACCATGGCAACCCATGTTACAGGGACAGCCGTCCATTAAAGATCCCTTTTCAGCTGGCACGGCTGAACATCACGTTCAACTATGAGCTCCAGGCACCAACAGCCCAAATGTCAATCTCGCGGCCATACTCCTGTGCGCCCCGTGCAGGTTCGCAATTCGACGCAGGAGGCGTAAGGTATTGGGTAGGCTTAGGCATGCTCGGCCCCACAACCTCAAACTTCAACCCTCCAACACCCTAGCCCGAAACCTTGGAATACAAACCCAGCGTCCTCCTGCTTGATCACCTCTGGAGCAAGGTAGAAGTCAGAACCACAAATGGACGTCGACCTGGAGAGCGTATTGTGAAACACCAGGAACGTGTCGATAAGCTAGTTGGGCACCTGCCTCGTTCTGGCACGAGCTTTTTGCGGGTACCTGAACCCTAGTCTAAACGTTGGGGGTCATACAACACAAATAGGATCCTGGCAGCGGGGTTTGAGTGGATTCCTACATTGGAGGCCCTGTCTTTTTTCTGTGCAAACAAAACGTGTTCCCGCTGCCGTTACAAAACGCATCCTCAGTTCTGCACCGAGACCCATAATAAGCAGAGTGTTTTGTGGTCTTTCCTTAGGACCCCTCTTATACAACGAAACCACGACATGTCAAATTTGGTCTCTAAGTGTGAGTCTCCGGGTCACCACAATTTGCCGCCAAAAAGCGAGAATGTTCTTATGGGGGTCCCAGAGAAGGGGGCCCTCGCCCTACATATTTGTTTAGAGCCCCCTCCTCCAAGTAGACTCCGCTCTTCATACCAAGGCTGTCGCCGGGGGAGCCGCCGAGGAAAATCCCGCGAAAGCCTCAGAAAATCAGGGCTCTACTTCAAGGTAACAATGAAAGTTCAGATCTGGGGTTTAGGGCTGAGTGATTCTGGCTATATTTAGTTTAGGGCCTGGCTTAGGGTTTAGTGTGCCTGAGGTCTGCTCCAGGGTCACTGGTATTGATGAGTGATAGGAGAATTACCCGTCCAAAAACTCATTGCACAGCAGCACAGCCCTGAAGGTTGCAGGATTTCTTGAAAAAAAGCTTGGTTGCCCCGTTTGCTGTGACCTCTGCTTGTAGACATATCAAGTGGAGCCGGCTCCCGACCGCAATCTCTCAAAAAAAGAAGTGCGAAGTGATAAGAAGTAAAGCGAAGTGATACGAAGCGTTTGCAGACGTTGGGGTGCTCCTGCAATTGGGACGAGTAATGCGCATGACAGTGATAATTTGGAATTGATTCAGAGTCATACACCGAAAAGAATCTCAGTGTAGGCCGAATGTTGCGTCCTTCATGTAATTAAGCGTGTCAACTTCAATTGAGGCCTGGCCGCGTGTACGAAGTTTAAGGGTTGCTGGCTCGGGGTGGGGGTTAGAGTGAATAGCATTGAAATCATAACTAGTTCTGACTCCCTGGACTCCCGAACTCTTCCAGGGAGCTTAATGGTTTATAACAGTGATAACCTGCTGTCAATCTTCTTGTAAAGCAGCAGGACTCTCCTGCAAAAAGCTTCTGAAGGATAGGTAGTAAAAGCGTTGTCAGAAGCGCCAGGTCCGCCCGCAGCATGCCGGAAGACAAGCCTAAAGCTTAATTCTATTTTTCTGTCTTAAACCCGTAAACACTCGCCTAAGGTTGGAATCATGGGCGCAGCATTCAGCCCCTGTTTACCCACAAGAGCCCTGCAACCCCCAAACCCCCTAATGGCGGCCCATACTTAGGACCTAGAAACCAAGTAGGGGCCACATCAGGGGAATCATGCTTAGGATCTAAAGCCCTGAATCGCCAATCCCAATCCCAAGCTTTTACGGACCGAGCTTGGCGAGTCCAAAGTCGGAGACTTTGATGTCCGTGTTGCTCACCTGGCACTTCCAGATGGACTGATGGGCTTCAAGGGGGATGCACGACTTTCATGCAAGGTTCAATTGTGAATGAGGCAAAATAGGCTTAACTGAACAACGCTTCAGGTGCCCAATGGTTGCGCAGCTTTGTTTTTGACAATCATTGAGAGTCTTCTGTAGAAGAAAACCTGATAATTAGGTACTTGGTTGGACACTTCAAGACCAGTGGCAAAAAGCACGAAATCTGGGAGGCAGTAACTTCTCTGTTCTTGGTAGCTCGAAGGAGCAGTTGCTTTAATCTGTATCCTTTATGTTGGAACACTACGTGTTCAGTTTCTCAGCTCTTGCCTCATCTTTGTTTTGGAAATGGACCTTTGGGGGACGCAAGCCTCGTCAAACAGGGATGTGCAATAGGAAGCCCTTACCCAACTCTACATGCTCAAGCAGCCCAGCGAAGCAACAGAAACTTCTGAATGATCGTGGAGAGAGGGGTTCTTCAACTTCAATTTCAAGTGAGGAAGTATGCAGTGAAGCCCAAAAACAGGCTAGCAGTTAAAGCTCTGCCACCTTGCTGACAAGAAGGATGTTCTCCTTGGTGCTCGGGTTCAGGAGAGGAAGTGGGTCTATCGTAAAGGTCGCAAGTTTGGGCCAACGAATGATAAATTGCTAGGAAATGATGTGATGCTTACAAACGTAGTTGGATGCAATCGGGCTACTCACTTCCACTTTCCCACGAATTCAAGAACTTACAGGGCACATGTGTTCTGACCCCTGGTTTTCAGCGTCTTAAAACAAGCATCCTGCCTAAAGCTTCTGTAAGAATAGGGTACTGTATATACACACCTCACAAATTGCCAGGCCCGTCCCATGTCACTCGATCCATTAGAGTTTTCCAGAGCACACATCCTTTGACCATCCTCCTACTGCTCCGGTTTCCTGAAGAAGGGTTCGTGCCCGATAAGATCTGGGGATGGACCTAAGTGAACACGCAATGTATGTCAGAGTAAGTTACATGAAGGAGCTTTAGGAGGGTTACTGCCGTCGGGTTCTCACATGCGCTTGTTTGATTCAAGCATGTTCCCGTGGCTGTTCAGCTATTGGTTCTCAGGGATTATTGCTTATGGCGCGTAGTCCTCAAGAGAACCGGCATGATCTTCATGCAAGTCCTGTACATCCGCAGAAGCGTAAACCTTTACATGACCTCAACCACCCTGTGAGACCAAGCCCTAAGCATTTCCCTATGTACCCACATATAACCCATATAACCGGGTTTTCCGTTTTCGTCTCACTGTTTCCTACATAACCTTAGGCTCCCTGCCGGCTTCAAGTCGCGATGCATGATGCCCTTGCTGTGGATGAACTCCACAGCCTCTGGCGGAGGATGAGGTTATGCGAACAGTTTGGGGTTTGTAAGGGGGACTCATACGGCAAGAAACCCCATGTCTCTTTGTGGAGGTAAGGGCTTATAGTAGTACTAATAACAGGAATAGTAATAGTAGTAAGAATAGTAGACAAACAATAACATGAATAGGATTCAGAGTTTGGACTCAGGGCCTGGCGGCGTAGCATGTGGTTTCTCGTGTTCAAGGTAGCTAAAGGATCCGAAGAGCGCACCGGACCAGTTCTCTCAGGATTTTTTTACGTGTACGACAATTTGCGGGCTGGGGGAAAAAGCTAAGAATGTGCTCTCTGAGTGTTAAGAGGAATTTGGCGAAACATGGTTAGGCTGCAGCCGCAGCAGCATGCCACATGTCCAGAAGGCTGTTAAAAAAATGTTGCCCAAAATTGCTTCCTTGCAAGAGTGTTGCCTCGGCCCCCGACATCGGGGATCCCATCTTGCATCTCCATAATCATGCATGTATGTCAGGCACCTTACATGAGATGCCCGGGAGAAGTTTGGTACTATTCCAGCCTCTCGCTGCAATCCTCCAGCAGTCGTTCTCGGTGCAATCAAGTACTTTAACAGCATCTGGGACCTTTTTCCAATGATTTCTATGACCAGAAGCAATACTCAATCTGCAAGTTTGCTAAATGTCTTGTGAGCGGATCGCACGTCCCACAGTTTTGGATCTTTTCTGGAGTGATTCCGTTGCTGGCGGACCCTCATCAAGAACAACTAGCTCCCAGCGCCCGAAGTCATACATCCATCTTGACCCTGTGGGCTGTATGCCCCAGGTTTGGGGGCTGTTGAAGAAGAAGCCTGATGCCAAGGCCCCCTTGACCCCCAGTCGAAAGAGGCAAGAACTCTGCCTCCAGGAGGTTCTTGATTAGCAGCTTGGTATCCGGCTCCTGCCGCACAACAGAAGTGGTTTGGAATGCCGAGCTACAAACATGGCATACCGCATGATACCATGAATCAGGCCACTCTTTTGCAAGTTTTAAGCCCAAGCAAAGCAAACAAACAGCTGGCTGGCCGAGTAGAATCGCTTCTGTTGGATGCGATCATACCTGGGTGCACGGTGAGCGATCGATGCACTTTAGCGAGTTCGTTTGAACCCGAAACCTGATCCCCAGAACCAGGATGCCAGGAGGGAACCCCAATTTCAGAGACATGCTTAGACCACGACACGTCAGAGCTCAGGCCCAACGAAAGCATAAAAGATGTAAGCTCACAGGTGCCCTCGAAAGCAATAGGACGTGATTTTAGAACGCGTTGGAGGGAGGGGGGAACCAGATCCTACTTTCGAAGCATCCATGTTTTTCAGACCCAGACTCTAGAATTGGCGAGTCATTGCAGCAGCAGACGCCAACGCACACGCGAGGTACTGAAAGTTCAGTCTTGAAACTACTTGACCTCAACTTTGAAGGAGCCTGTTGCCAGCCGCAGGCAAACCTAGAGATGGGTTTTGGTTTAGGATTGTAATGGTTGGGGTACATAAGGCTTTACAGTTCATTGCACATCCCCAAACACAAAAGAGCAATGCAATGCAACTCCAATTAATTACGGCACTGACGTGCTTAAGCTCAAGTGGATCCTTGGTACCATATATGCAACATGCGGCTTTGTTGGTCAGAAAGCACAGAAGGACCAACAACTCTAAGAAACGTTCACGTTATCTAGGTTGCGCTTTGAAACATCCCGTGGCGCGGGTGAATGTATTTACGGGCACTGGTGTACGACTTTCCATCTCAGGTGGGAAGGCATTTCAAATACGCCAACATGATATGAGCACATACTCTCCACCCAACAAACACAACCGCACAGCCTAAACGCTGTGCCGCTCCGGGCCAGAGCTACTCAAGTGCTTACACGAGAAACGACGTGTATATCTCGTCTTACGAATGAAAAGAAACCCTCGAGTCTTGCAGAGAAAGTATTTAGTTTCAAGCGTGTCAGACCATGAGATACTACCACCAGGTCGCTTCATCACAATTAATGCTTGCAGCCAGAGATGCAACTCGCCACCCTCACACAGCTCCAGGACCTTGGCGCAACTCAGCTGACAGAAAAAGAAAACAGTCCCTTCAAGCACAATGGCCTACCGCTTAGAGTTTAGAGCTCCCGAGGTCTTTATCAGACAAGCTCTGAAGCAATTGCATCGTCATCCAGGTTTACATGCGTTCTGTTCCCAGAGGCACGTAAAGCCCTCGACATCAAGCAGACAAGATGCGGCTGATGGGCTGGAACGATATTCTCCTCTGAGTCTGCGTTGTGGCTAAGTCTCCAAAAGCTATACCGGCCCGGTGTCAAAGACAAAGCATCCCCTCTTCTGAAATCACTGCGACCGAGCTGAGAACTCCATCAAACCATGACATCACATGGTGATTTCGGACAGGCAGAAGGTAGGGTTGAGGGCGTATTCGGGTAAAAAGCGCTCCAAACGAATCTTCTGTTTCTGCAGACTGTCTTCAATTTACTCAAGCTTGTTTGGATTTGGATTGGTTGATTTGTTGCCTCCAGCCCATTGCCCCAAATGTTGAGATGACAATGGCATCAGCTGCGGGATAAATATGTGACCAAAACCAGGCCCTCAAAAGTGCTTGTACCCCTGGATGTCAAAATGAAGTTAGGCCAGATCAGGACCGAAGAATCGTGCCTTTTCGTTTAGGTATGATTAGGTCATGCGGCGTGGGGTAACCTCTGCTTTCGTGACATGAATACCCATGATCTGCGGCAGCTTACCCGCATGATCTAAGGAGAGAAGCACTCTGGGACCCCAAACCAATCGGATGGTGTTGGCCATTGACTCGTCCATATCGATGAGTCTGATGATGCTCGCGTGGTGGTTGATGGCCTGGCTTTGGGTTTAGGCCTGGGCATGGAGTCTTTTGTTTCACAAGCCTTAGGTTTGTGGGGAAACACACCAAAAACCAAGTGAGTTTCTGATGGCAAAAACTATGCAGCGACATTTCCCGCTCAGTAATCCTTGAAAGATGAAGCAAAGAGCAATGCATGCGTTTTGTTTGTTTCCTGTGTGCGGGCCGGTAGCAGTCGTGGATGAGGGACCTCTTACCTCTGCTGTAAGACAAGGCGCAGCCCTGCACCCGAAATTGCATTGGTTCGAAAAGTAAAAGTGAACCCCACTAAGAAGTCCAAAATTCAACGGGTGCCGAGACGTCCCGTTTGCGTTCAAGCCATCTTTCGATCTTTGCCTCATCCGAGGAACTGCAACCCTCGATCTAAGCTACGGCATGCCTTAAGGTCCGGTCCGTGAAGCAGGAATGTCTTGGGTGCTCAAGGGTAGCCTGTGAAGTTCTCAGGCACCCAGCTGCCTTCGCGGACTTTGCAGCCTAGCCACTCAGGTATTTTAGAGAAGCAAGGCCACGACGGAATTGTGGCGTCAACGTGCTTGAAGTTTCCAGCCACCAAGCTTCCCGGCGTCAAAGGGGCAGCATTGTGCACTCACTCCATGAATCGTTGCTAAGTTGCGCATGGTTCGCAACAAACATTCGACAGAGAAATCCTGTTGCCTTTCTGGAAAAGACTCCTTCTCTGGTGCGGTTTCAAGTAAATGAAACATGCAAAGTGCTTAAGCTACTTAAGCACGTAATGGCCGCTGCCCCCTCTGCTCAAACTTGCTCCCAACCTAACAACAGGTGATCCCTAAGTAGTACCAATAGAGCAACCTGGATCTTTGTTTCAGGGCAGGTGTGATTTATGGGAAGCTCGCTTCTCTGCCCGTTACAAGTTCAAGACTAGCTCAAGAGATGAAACGTACATTTCGGAATGGAATTATTCTTTACACATGTTTGATGTCAAGCCTTAGAATGAAACTCGCAGACTGTCAGTTTGGGATGTTGAGCGCCGCATAGGGTTTGAAGGTGAAGGCTGCGTGCCTTCATGATGGCGATCTCCTCCACGATCCTGCTTTGCGAGGCCTCTTCATGTGCAAGCTCATGTGGAGACATTCTGTGCGCGACATTGACAGCCCTAGGCATGACTTCGTGCTCCAACACAAACTAAGGAGTCAAGAGCAAAAGTCTAAACAGTCCACCATTGTCTTAGAGGTCCCGCGACTGATGCCACGGCATCGCAAAGAGACATGCTGGAAGCATCAATCACATGGCCCAAATGTTGCTCTAGTCAGGTGTTTGGCACAAGGCCTTACTAGCAACACTTGAGCGTGGGGCTCTGTGGGAGCCCACCGTTATGACCATCTTGAACCTTCAACTCCAACGGCGTACATGACGTGTTCTTCCCAAGAGCTTTTCAACGCCTTGGCCTCAACAACCAGTTGTTGGGGGGAAGGAGGGGGGGGGTACATGGTCTAAAAATAATGTGGAGATGGTTTCCAAACGGGCTTGACCTCCATTTTGGTGAAAATTGTTTGGAAACGATACGGATTTTGAAACGGTTTTGGCCTCGATTGTTTCTTCACCTGTGTCTTGCACCACACCACAAGCTCCGTACCAGCCTTGTCGCCGGTGTAGGTCGATATGGCCTGTGCCATGAAATAGAACTTGTTGAGCGAGTCGGAGCTATACCCCACTTAACATCCCCAATCTAGACTTACATACATTTGTTGTCTCAAAAAACAAGGAGTATCAGAAAGGATATTAGCTTCATAAGGTATTGCTGTGGGCTGTCAAGGCATGCCGTCCTCCGTTCTGATGTAACTGCCATTCCTGAGGCTCCTATATCCATTCTGCTGGGTTTCTGATGATGGCTTCCGGCTTGAATAGACAAGTATCTTCCTTGCCTGACTCACCTCCACTACAAGCAAACTTCTGATGCAAATGCCCGAGAGATCACGTTACCTCCATAGTACACTCCCCAAAAATTATGAGTCCCCTGCAGCCTAGAATAACAAGAATTCCCTGATGTATAGCCGTACTATATCGAGAGTAGCTTATATTAGCAGGGTAGGAGGGAATTCTTCAAGGGAAGCGATTAACTACCTCAAAGTCACATGAAAGCTTGAAATAGCCGACAATGCCCCAAAATGCTGAACAGGGACACCTGTTGTAACAGCAGATTTGTTGCCAACTGAATTGGCCAATCATGTTTGGACAAAGATTACACGTGAGTTTTTTTGATGGCAGCGAGAAACTTCACCCTCTTCTGCCTTGAGTGCAAACCTCCGGTCTGGGTTGTTCCGGTGCGTGCACAGGTAGACCGTGGAGAACTTGCCGGTGCCCAATACATTGTCCTCAATGAAGCAGCCCCGGTTGTGCGTCGCTCAGTCTTAGACATCGGTTTAGACTTCGGGTTTGGGGCAAGAACTGGAACTACCAGAAGCAATCGATGCAGTCCAGCTTGGATGAGATCTGGAACTGTGATTGTTTCCATCTGGTCAGGCTCCGCCAGATGCATGTCTGGCGCAGCCCATGGCTGGTTTAATTCGGACTGGAGCATCTTTGCTGTGTACGTACAGCGTTCACCTGATACTCGGAGCATTTTGCAAAGCTAAACATGCTATTCATGAGCTTACATCTTGTCCATCTGCTGATTCAAGGGTCTGGAAGCAATCTGAGCCCCCATGTGAGCCCGCCACGCGAAACCGAAACTCCCATGTTTTAGTCTTGGGGCTTTTGTGCCTTCTTTTCCAGCGGATAATCCGCTCGCTGGGACTGAGGAAGTTGCCGAGTCGAATGACTTATGTGGGAAGCAGTGCAGGGGCTTTGCGAGACGGAGGGAGACACTCCCCTCTTCGCTTGAGCCAGGTGGGCCCTAACAAGCGTGAAAACTTGCTGGCAGTAAGTAGGGGATGCGGGAATATAACATATAGAGTTTATTTAGGGATTGTATTCCCTTAGCCCCCAGCAAGCATGTTTCCGAAAGTCGAAGATAATCAAGTACCTGGGGTTTCGATGCTTCTTAACATTGAGGTCCTGCCATGCGCCCCCCAACACAGCGGTCCTCATACTGATTAAAATTTCTCTAACGTCTCACCCGTAGAGTTGCAACCCCTTCGACCGTCCCTTGTGCCCCTCTCCTCGTCGATATCGAACCGTGAATCGAAACTGACGCTGTGAGGTGCCAGTCGGAGCCAGTCTCCGTCTGTCCTGAAGATTGATGTGCTGGCAGCAGTAGTAGTAATAATAGTAACAGCAGAAGCGTTCTGCTACCAGCTGTGGAGTTACAAACTTTGGAATTGCCAACTTTGCAGCTCCGAATGGAAGCCAGGCATGTTGTGTAGGAAGAGGCCACCAAAACTAGCATAAGCGGGAGGAGGCTCTGAACATGATAAACCCTTTTTCTGGAGATAAGCGTCCCAAACTCTTTCAAACACCCCCAGTCCTTGAAGCTTTGATTGCAATCGCTTGGAACTTACTTGTATCTTCGTCGGGATAGACTTGAACATCTACACGCAAGGGCCAGCATGGACATGAGCTACCTCGTGAAAATAAACGCCAGCGTGTATTACACCAAATTGAGATTTGGGGTGTCGGTGCGGGCTTTAGCAGGGGTGTGCCCGCTGTATCTGGTCACGTGAACTAACGGAGGTCACTCTTGCAGGGATGAACGTAGGGCATTATGCCTTCAAAGCTAAGGTGTCAGGCATGCTGAGTGTGTTGACTGTGTGTGTGTGCTTTGCTATACGCAGTGTACGAAGGGCTACAAGGCAGTTTCTTGTCCAGGTTTGTATGCTAGATTGCAAAAGCTTCACAGCAGGCTAACAGCCGTGTACCAAACACAGCTGCAACAACTGCCTGCATTAACTGGGTACTGAGGAACAATAATGCTGCATCGCACCCTTCACTACTCTAAAGTTGTAGTGGCAGTGGTTGCGACGGTAGCTACAGCAGCTGCAGCAGGAAGAGGACGAGGAGGAACAATAGCAGAAGTAGAAGCAGTAGCAGTAGCAGCGGCAACAGAAGTAGACGCTGCGGCGGCGGTGGTGGTAGCAGCAGGGATTCAAATACATGTGTGCGCATAAATGCACCCAACAATATTGGCAGATAGTCACATACCGGTGCATGTACATATGTACATAGACGTATATGCATATATATATACACATATATATATACATATGTCATGAGTGCGTACATGCATATACATCTGTACATGTTCCTTGCGTAAACATCATCTACCTATGCATATTCCTCAATAAACTCGTAGCTGAGAAATTTTCAGTGATGCCGGATCGATCATGACAACGTAGGCTTCAGACTGCACCGGGCACAGCAAGCTGTTCCCCATGGCAACGTGGCTTCCTTTGGAGAATCTGACCAGCTTGCAAATTTCTCATTGTAGCTTGTGAGAACTGGAAAAGAATCAGCAGGCTTACAGTAGGCATCGCTTTCAGGAGAGAGTGTATTGTGCGCTCACTGATTTTGGAAGCTGTTTAGTGGAGTATCTCACCAACGGAAACGTTCAACCTAAAGTCTAGCAAGAGAACCTGGCTGCAACGCGGAGCAAACAATCTGCTCTCTAGGAGTTGGTGGATCTTCCCATCTTGATCGAAGCTTTTTGCATCGAGCCGTGCAGCGGCACAGGCGGCAGACGTCGGCAGACCAAGATCTGCAAGCATCCCAAGTGCCGCAATGTGCTTTGGACCTCTCTGCATTGCTTGTATGACTTGTCGCGGATCAAACGGCCCCCACAATGCCGCCCAAGGTGTAGTGTCCTTATGCATTAGAGGATCGCCAAGAAAAAGACCAACCATCTTCAGCAGGAGGGTAGTTATTGGAAGGAGCCTCCTTGATTGGACCCCAAGCTTGAGGCACCCTGTCAACAAAGAAGAAAACACGGCTAGGGGTGACCGAGAACTTGCGCAAAGCGATTTTCCAAGTCCTACATAATTAGTCGCCATGAACAATAAGGAGCTTGGGGAACAAGAGGTCCCGATGTGGAAAAAGGGGTATGAGCCCTAGATTGTCCCCAAAAGAAACAAATGGTCCCTTGAATTCCTGCCCATGATACAGCTCTGCAAAATGCCACTTTTCACCGAAGCGCAAATGAGGCTGTCTGCTTGCATTAGCAGCTCCCAAAGCCAAGGCAACTCTGCGGATGGCTTGTCATCAGGGCTTAAACAATGCAAATGAAGGCTTTAGAGGGCTCTACTAGTGCAAAAAAAGTCTTTGCTCCAGTTGGACTGGTTCCTCGGGGACAGTACATCAAGCACTGTTCTTCAGGGTTCTGCAAAGCTTGCCGCAGAAAATGTTCCCAGTAACCCCATCCCCGATGGCTCAGCTACGTCGTCTATGTGTGTCTCCCTAGCGATATGGTACAAGGAGTAAAGAGTCCTACTTCCACAAGGCTGATACATGTGTATATGGACCCGCTAGGAGTAAGCATCATCTTACGAGCTCTAGACCTGCCATCCACAGGTGTTCCCATTCGAGAAGGGGCAGTGAACATTACCGGAAAGTCCGGTGGTTAAAGCTTGTGACCACTACGTCTGGCCGGCACATGGTGTCCTATCCAGATATGTTAATATATCTTAGGATATGCTAGGGCATAGGCCACGTTGGGACGTAGCAGTCCGCTAAATCGACCGTTGTTGAAGCAGCTTGGAACATCTTTGACTACAGCAAGAAATGAGGGCATACAAAATGGACCGGCCTTTTTAGCTTGGCCTAGCTCCCGCGAAAAATGTGTAGTCCTAGTTGTTCTTGTCTTTTTTCACGATCGTAGTTGCTTCAGGGTTCATGGCTCTCAGCTCGGCGTTCTCCCGCAATTTCGCTTACACTGCGTGGTCCTACTTACATGTCAGCGATTTGGCTGTTGCCCGGTCCGCCTTTCTTCCGTCATGGTCACCTGCCCTATGTACATGCTTTTCTGTTGTTGCAGCTACTGGCTCAAGTGCATAGCATAGGGTGGCGTGCCTCCGAAACCTATGGCCGTGCTCTAGGCATGTCCTACTCTCGTGCCTGCATACTGGCATACTCTTAATTACCGAGAAAACTCAAGATCACCAAAATCTGGTCCGCTGAGTAGCGCGTTCTTATTTTGACATGCTCTTCGCAGTCACGCCTCACCTTGTGATCGGCAGGCGCTGCGCTTTTCGAAATTGCTTCCCGGCACCTGCAGCACCTGAGTGCAGTACCGCTGGAGACTAGTTGGAGGGCTTGGGGTTCAACGTTCGATGGGTTTCTCAAAGTGGAGGTATACTTCCAGAGTGTATGGTGATATAAGACTATAGGAGTGCAGTTCCCTTTGGTTAACCTTTCAACGAGCTAAGAAAGAATGGATTGCGCCTTTTTTGCGTAAAAAAGATACTTTACTAATTAGGGATTTGCATTAGATGTTTTGAGGGATGATAGGCGCTTTTGGCCACACTGGATGACAAGACATGTTGGGCGACAACTTTTGCGGGCTTGTCAGTTTATAATGTTTCCTGCCTGGAACCGTGTTGACACCAAATTGCTTAATTATGCGAAACAAACCACCTTCCTAAAAAAGACAACTAAGCCCTGTCTCCGCTGCCACCAAATCTTCTGTAGATATGGGGATCGGGCTGTTGCCAGTGTGGCGGGATGACATGCCAACTGCCCAAATCCACTCATCCAAGCGTCTGTGCAAATATGACAAACACAATAGCAAGGAGATGTCGAAGGTCATCAGAAACAAAGATGACATGCATATAATGTCTTGAATGAAAGCGAGTCTGCATCACATCAATCTGCAGGATATGGCCATGCGCCCGAGAGCTTCTTGTCAGAGTCGTTCAAAAGCACATGGGTAGCTGTCTACATTATGGCCCCGGGAGCCCTACATCATGCCGCTCTCCAGTCGGCAGCCTACATTTCGGAATGGAGAAAGCCATCTGCGCTTTGGCCAGCGCCCATTCAAACAAATGACGCACCCACAACGCCAGGATGATTAGAATAGGGCCTTTGGAGTTAGTCATGCGAAGCACAATTCAAAGAACGGTATTGAGCCGATTTGCCTTGCTTCTGTGTAGAACTAGCTTAGGTATTTGTGCCAAGGTGCTCTCTATTTGCCCCTTGCGCTTTTCCCCAGCACTTTTGCCTCGAAGGGCAGGGAATGGAGTGCGCACATGAGGCAATCAGCTTCTAGCAACCAAAGACTCTGAATGTGAGATTCAATCATTCTATTGAATTTTGACATTTTGCTGTTTGCAAGCAGGAAATCCCTGCAGCAGGCCCAGAGAAGACTTCCCCCTTCCTGAAACTTGAATACTCCTGCGGAGAGTGCTGGGTTTACTCAATAGGATCTTTAGGTTGCTGCTTGGAGGTTTGGGGAGCAGTGTAGCTGCTGATGATTGGGGTTGGTCGGGTCTGAACAGAATTTAGGGCTTGTGCATTTGACGCCAGAACAAACATACGGAAAACCAGCAATTTTAGGAAACCTTCCTGCCCCAGGAAAATGTGGGTCGGCGGGAAGCCCAGGCCACAAAGATCGAAGCCCTTGAACTGAAGCAAAAACAATCAGATGCGGCGATGCAGTTCGAGTTGAGCCTTCAAGCTTGCTAAGCCAACTACAACCCCCCCTACCCCTGAACCCTAATGCGAGCCTTGGGAGTAGCTTTCGGTACCAGTCTTTGTCTCTTTCACAGCTTGGCCACTGAAGGTCCAGTGGTAGGTCCTTCTCGGAGCTTCTGGCTTACAGCTAAGTCCCAAGGAGACCTCGTACTTGAGAGAACATGGCTACTATAAGAAGGGGGCTGCTGCTGCTGCTGCTGCTGCTGCTGCTGCTGCTGCTGCTGCTGTTGCTGGTAGCAGTACCAGGACCGCTGTTGCCGTCGGCTTACATCAACTGCGACCGTTCTGACTGCGTGTAAAAGAAGTGGCAATAGCGGTAGAAGGGATCTTGGCAGGATGCTAGCAGCGACAACCCATGTCTATGTCCATCATCACCTTCACCACCCCCATCACTACAACACGATGGGGCTTCAAAGTCATCAGTGGGTGTGGTGTAAAGCTTAGTATGTTTGCCGTGTACACCTGTTCATGATACGACACAGCATGAGTAAACAAATTCAAATCATGAAAAAAGGCATGTTCTCGTGGCAAGCTCCACTTCACACACCTACTGCACAATCAGCATAGTTCCCAACCTCTTCGCTTCTTCCCGGCTCCTGCAATGCAGCAAGGCCCGCTGTCAGATCTCTGAGACAGAAGCTCGAAACAGGCCCTTGCAGGTGAATCTCCAGCAGAGGCAGGGACCTGTTCCTAAAATCTCAACGGAATTATGAAACTATTCCGCCGTTTGGAATTGAAGCCTCCAAGAGAATCCCTGCAGAGTCCCCTGTTGACATAGAAACACAAACTTCTAGACCCTAAGCCGTAGAGGTCACCTTAGCCCCTTTGACAGAAATCCTGCAACCTTCAGACGGCTCGGCTATCTCAAACACGCATCGGCGCACACAACAAACGGCGACCCATACATCTAGGTTTTCGCCTCCACTACCCCAAGCACCAGAAACCCCCAACACTCTCTAAATCCTAAACTCTAGACTGAAAACCCTTCATAAAAACCAACTTCCTAACCATGCACCTTACGTCCTAAACTTCCTAAACCCCAAACCCCATTCACAGAGGTCTTCAGCAGGGCGCTTGGCACCTTCTGCGGCTGCACCTTGCCAACTCCAAGTTCGAGGTGAACGTCAAGGCCTTGTCACTAAGTGGTCTGCCACTAAAACACCAGGCCTCTGGTTCAGGGTCTACATACAGCGTGCAGCACAGCGTATGGGCAAAGGACTGAGCTTATGATCTAAACTGGCTTGGGAGTAGGGCCAGGAGTTCGGGTGTAGTGTACGATGGTTTACAGTAGGTAGGACTCAGGGTTTCGGACTTAACGACCAGCACTGCAACACAAGAAGAACGATAACAACTTGACTTCATCTGTCTGCCCACGGCTACCACAACAGATACTCGGCTTCCTGACAGAACACGTCTCTTCATAGCTGCGTTCAAGCTCCATTTCTCGAACAGCTAATTTTGCGTTGTGTAGGAATTCATACCCAGAATACAGTCGTTTAGCATGTCGTCGAATTAGGGTGAAGGGCCTAGAAAAGCATGTTGTCTATTTAGGGTGAAGGGCTATGTTGCGACGGGGAGTTGAGGCTCTTGGAGCTATCTTTGATGTATGACAGAATGTAGACAAGCAATGCCTTCTATGTCTATTCAAGTTCCACGCCAGGTCTTTGATTGAACATCTTCTTGCGCTTTGGAAGACTCTTCTGGGCTTGGAATAATCTTGCGAATTTGCAGCCTCTACTCTACACTTCTGTGCCGGGCTATTGGCCCAGGACCTACTGCCTCAGATTACGTCATGCGCAGCTACGCATGCCCTGCTTGGCTTGCAAAACCAATTTGGATCGAATCTACGTGATCACTAAACAACTTCCTAGTCCCTCATCCATCAAGTTCACATTGCGCGTCCCAGAATGATATCTGATAACCAAAGCCAGAAATGTAATTGCAGCATGGCTAGCCCCGGTTAAGTAGTCAGACCTATCAACAGATTAAATCCATACCCCCTGAACCCTAATTAGATGCTAAACCCCAAACCCTAAGCCCTATACCCCAAACATCTAGCCCCATAAAGTGTAAATTGTATGGCCTTTGGCTTGAAAGGAAACCCGAGAGTCGGGCCCATGACTTCTTGGGGTCGTCGCTGGTGGCAGGCTCCTGTGATTTAGGAGAACGCGCTCATGGCCACGACCAAGTCCCACTGTGGATGTCGGAGGCTGGGCAGGGTGATGAGACGTGGTCTGAAGTTCTACCTTCTTGCGCGCCCCTCCTGCAACACTACACGCCGCTACACAAAGGTAGCTGTAGGCTGTATAGGTAGCCTGATATTATCATGCCGAACTTGAAGCACCCAAGGCAGGGCAAGACATCGTGCATCAACAGCAGCGGGTCGCGGACAAGCGGACCCTTTTGTGAGTCCTTTACTTGGGTTCGCTGGGCTTCACTTTGGGGCGCATGCTTTTGCAACCTTCCACCCTGCAAGGGGGCTGCAGCAGAGGCAGGAATTGCGTTATGGAAAACAGCCTCTGAAGGCTTGTCCTTCCACCCAACGTGACGGAGAAGCCTCTTAATCCCGGAAACTGAACTGCGAACCTCTTCACATAAAGGCGGACCATAGCTAGCCCGGCTTTAAGGCTCTGGACTACGAAGTATACAGTGTCATCAACAGCTGATAAGTGCAACATAGGAGCCAATATAGATCCCATTCAGAAACACCAGAGTCTACCAAAAACACTAAAAACCGTTTAAGATCCGCGTCTGCTTCGGGATGGGTAGCCCAAAATCCGGATCTAAAACCCACAGCCCGAAACCCCACGCCTTCAGCCTTATCCCTAAACAAACCCTGAACCCCTCTCCCAATCACCATTTGTGGGAGGGTAAGGCCACCAACTTGTGTCGTGCCTCTGTTGCCTCATCCATGTCCAAGCGATGGGCTTTGCCAGAAAAGGGCCTTCGGGACCACACAGCTAAGATAGGTGGGGCATCATTCCTTTAAAGTTCGAGCTTCTGCACACTAGGGTCACTTTCCGCAAGTTAATCCCCAAATCGTAACGTCACACATACTCTATGAACAAAGGTTGGGAAAAGCAGAGTTCTACTAGCATCTACTCGACCCCAAAAAACTCCTGGTCCCAAAGCTACTTCCAAGCGGGAGCATTCTAACCAAAAAACACCGCAGAGGAATCCAAGGGCCAACAGACTAACGAAGACCTCGGATGAATCCAGCCCTGTTCCCCAATCAGGGATCATGAAAAGAGGGCTGCTAAATTTCGATACTCGGGTGTGGGGTTCAAAGAACCAGTTTAAGTTTATCGGGGGCTACTTCTAAGCTCCGATGTTTGATCTGGGGCATGAGACTTCAGTGTAAGCCCGCAACTCGAAAGCCCTAACATTGCTCTTTCAAGGCTCTTCATCTGTGAGATCGGCTGGAACTGATGGGCAAAGAGGTGCCAAGTGTAAGCTTCGCACGTGAAAGATGATGGCAGCCCAGAAGGCACCTGCTTTCTGGCTGTAGACAGGGTTCGGCCCAGCAAGAAATGCTGCTTTTATCTGATAGCATCGCAAGTGTTCCGGACATCATTCACGGAGGACCGCAAAGCCAACACCCTAAAAGCAATACCTTTCCCCAAGGACCATAGACACCCGTATATGAAAGGAGCTGTAGAGTTCACGAAAGGCCCTTTTGGTGTTTCATGTTCTTTGGGGCAGCACAATCCTCGAATCCCTCCACTTGAGGGACTACAAGCTTGAGAAACCAGGACCTGATTTTCATCCGAGCCCAAACCTTGACCCCAAAAGGGACCAGAAAGCCTTGATTCTGGCAGCCAAACCCTCGGGCCAAATGCCAAACCTTGAGGAGCTGGAGTAACCCTTGAAACGCTGAGTCTTGGGCGTGGCTACTCAAAAACATGTAGAAAAGACATTTGCAATCAATGACATGGACACATGATGTTCACTGCTGCTTGCACCTCCTCATCCCGGTGCACTGGCTGTCTGGCTCGTGACGAGCCTTGGGTTGAGGGTTTTGGGCCATTTGGGTCTATCCCCACACCCCAACCCACAATAGTAAATGTGAATACTCAGTATTTCGGGTCGAGGGTTTTGGCTTTGGGCATCCCGGTTTTGGCGCTTACGGGGTCAGCTGTCAGATCTTTGGGGTTTAGGGTGCAAAGGGCCCTGCGGTCAAAGTGCAGGGATGCAGAGTGTGAGAACAAGGTGTGCCTCGGCTATCTGAAGCAAAGGCTCTCGATTGTACCCAGGATATGCGGGCTGAGAATGCGCTGACTCACTAGTACCCGTATCTATCTCACCAATCCTGGCGTCAGAATCATGACTCACCCCTCGGCTGAACCTCTATAATTCTAGACTCGCCCCTAATCAGAGCTGGAGGGCTCTACCCTACTGCGGAACAGTGGGTACCCTATAAACCCCACCCCTCACGTAGCTGTAGGATATCTTAGCTCATGGCTGCCGCCCCCTGCCAGATTGTTGAAGATGCTTCGGAGCATATCCTGGAGCTCCTGTAGCTTCAGGAGCCCTATGTCTGTGGTAGTTTGAGGAGCCCCATGTGTTGCATTTAAAGCTATGCACACATTGTTGCTTTGTAGGCCAAGGCATTCCCAGCGCTGTCCTGAAAGCAATTTCAACCGTTGCTTGCTTCAACTGCTAGCAGACATCAAAACACAATGCTTTGTATCAAGGCTCAAGCGAAAGCACAGATTCAGGGTCGTTGAGCCATTTTGCCTTGGGGGACATTTGCATGTATAACACAGAAGGACACCGGACATGTACGCAACAATAGCTGGTGCCCATTCAAATTGTTCATTCTCCGTGAGGACTTCTTGCTCCAAGGTATGCTATCACACCAAGTTTCTTGGGAGTTTAAATGGACTTCTTCAAAATACCGCTCAAAGCTACAAATGCATCGGCGAATTCTCAAGGCAAGATGCAACAACTCTAGTTTTACTGCAAGCCCTGCCCTGAAAGCCCCAAGTCCATCTCCTCTCCGCTCTCACCAGCGATTTCAGGGCCGACGTCGTCGAAGAACCCGCTGTTGAGATGCTCCTCTGAACGGACACAAAGCACCGGGCGGGGAGGGTGGGTTTTGTAGGTTTAAGAAGGGTGCGAGAATGTAAAGTCTTAAGGCAAAGGCCGAATTTTCGATCAATAGAAATAGTGTTTGCAGCTAAATACCATCAGCACGCATCACAGCGACCCGTGACCAGTGACCAAGCCCTAAACGCTCTGGGTTCAGCGGTTACTGCTCAACGTGCACGGAATGACGTAAGAGTTGAAGGTGTGAGGCATGAGCCTTGGTGGGATAGGGCTGAGGATGTGTGCTTGGGGCCCCTGGAAAACAATTTGTAAGGTTGCTTGCATCTGGAGGTTGGAGAACCCCAGAGTTCAAGACGCGTTGCGTTGAGGGTTTAAGGATGTGGGGTTGATGGTCGGCCTGTGTTGGGGGGTTTACAAATTTCACGGCTTGGGCTTTGGATTCGTGGATTTGACTTGGGGAACACAACATGCCGCACTTGCAAACATGATAGGAAAGCAGGAATCAATTCTGGCCTTCAAAAACGCGAAGGAGAGCGCAGCGGCCATGAAGGGGAACGTGCGGGCTTACTATAAACCCGCGAGGTACCCATAGAAACTCTGAGGTAGGGACCATAGAGATACGCAATGCCACACCGGGATTCTACAGAGATCATGTGTTACAGGTACGGGTCCTGCCAAAAGACACAAGGCGCGTCTTAGAACCGTCATCTTAGGTTCACTCACGCTGCCGCTACAACTTACAAGGACTTGACTTGAAGTCAAAACAAACTCCCCCATGCTTGTTTTGAGACACCCTCAACTCCCTAGTCCCCACCCGAACTATATCTGTTCCATAGCCACGCAGGCCACACGTACTCTGTTCAGTCAAAAAATGGCTTCCGTACGAACCCTGGCGTGACCCTGCACACATGACAGACACAAACCTGTTTACATCTAAAGGAAATGCAGCATGCCTTCGTGTTCAGAAAGGAAAGTACGAAATATCCAGCCCACTCGTCAAAACCCTTAAAACTCTAGTCGTAGCAGGGTAGCTTGGACACACTACCTCGGAAACATCCAACATCCAAGGAAGTGCTATTGCGGGTAGTACGTTTGCAACCCGAAGCCCAGCTCCTGGCAAAAGCGGGCGGCAGACGCACCATCCTGACCCCCAGCGAAATCATCAAGGATTGCCAGAATTGAAGGCTCCGGAGTGTTGTCAAATATTGTTTGCCGGCGCACTCCCCACACCATGGCCCGAAGCTCTGAACCCAACTGATCCCGCCTCAATAGAGAAAAGCCGCTCCCAAACGAGGTAGCGGTCTTTATTCAAGGCGCCGTCCTTAGCCAAGAATTAAGGTTTCGGAGCACAATTCGGATTGATCTGGGCAGTTCCCCTGTCGATGTTCACACTTCGGCATAGATCCTCAAGACAAGGACGGGTGACGAGCAGCCTGATTTCGGATGCATTCATGGCTGGATCTGGAGATATGCCGGTTCCAGTGGGCGAGAAGTGGAATATGAAAGAAAGTTCAGGGATGTTCAGGGGATTCTGCAAGTACATGTCACACTCCTTTCTTGTTTATCCAGGTGCCACCTCAAAGCTCGAGGCATGAAGCTATCCTGCACTCTGATGTTTAAAGATGAAGGGACAACTGAACATGCTAAGCGCGCTGCAACGAAGCCCTGGAGAAACTGCGGAGTCGAGAGCTTCTTGGACCGCTTCGTCGCTGCTTCGAGGTCCAGGTGCGCTAAGTGGCAAAGCAACGTTGTGGTGAGCGCCGCACCAGCCACCGAGGAGAGGGGTCCCACGAAGCATCCGCCATTGCTGGTGTAGCCAGCTTCGATCCCCAAGGGCACAGCTACTCGCTCGCAAGCATCTGCAAACCAGGCCTGGCGGCGCTTGTTTTGCTGCCAGCGAATGGAACTCTCGGCAACAACGTCAGAAGCCGACCACTCCTCCGTTCCGGCCAGCTGACGCTTCAGCTTCTCGAACTTCTCCGCGGTCCAATTTGCCTTGGACAGCTCTCGCTCGAATAGGCGGAGTGCATTGCGCGCCTCGCTCTCAGTCACGCCCTTCCCTATGAAACGCTTCTCCAAGCGCTGTAGCCGCTCCAGTGTTTTCAGATTCTCCTCCCCTGCCTCCGAGCTGTCAGGGCGGATGGCTCCCGTTTCCTTGGATCTATAAAGCATTGCACCACAAGGACCGCCAGGCTGACAGAAACAAATGAAGCGAACAAATGGTAATCAGAAGCCCAGCTTCAGCGGCCATACGAAACAAGAGCTCCGATACGTCCTTCAAGTTCTTATCACGCTCCAGGGGTGTAGCGTTCTTCGGTTGAGCCACTCGGACTTGAAGAACCCAGGTGTCGTTGCCAAAGGGCCTCAGTCTTTGGGTCTCTCCGCCTCCACTCCCCCAGGACGCCCAGTTGCCGGTTGAATAGGAGTCTACTTGCCTCTTGTTAGTAGGGAATAAAGGAATATAAAGGAATGGCTTATTGCAGAATTTAAGGAAGATGTTCCCGGAATTACACGGATTACGCGGACCCATCTTTTGCCCTCTTCTAACGAGATGTCAAACCTGGGCCCCTGAGAACAGACAGTAACGTTTATGCCCTCAGTGTGGAAACTGCTGGTGGCTTGGCCTGGAGGGAATTTCACAATGAAGCATCCGTTGTGATGGTAACGCCGAGCCCGCTTGTAAACTTTGATATCATAGTACAACTCAGCTTAGACCCTTCCCCAGGAGCCTCCGGAGTGTGAAGGCCCAAAACTTCTCCTTCTTGCCGCGGAACTCCTGAAAGGCCTGAGGACAAGTTGCACGCCCTGCTGCGTTGCCATTGAACAAAGTCACGGAAGGAAAGGAGCAACAGTTCGCCTTTGTCACCAACAACTTGTCCCCCTTCTGCATTTAATGCACCCCTACAAGAACAATGAAATAGGCAAGCGTGTTGATACAAGCCCTTTGGAGATTGGTCATACTTCCCAATATTCTGCAGCTTTGGCTGCGCAAGGAGGAACTCTTGTTTGTGGTACCCGTGAGGACACCCAACTTTTTTCATAACCACTCACATTCCATATTCCTGAGAAACCCAGGAGCCTATATACAGTCACCAACAACATAACAAGATTCACAGTTTGCAGACTACACCAATAAAACCAGCAAACCTCTGTCAGGCCACACCGTTGTAATATTCATGGGCCTAGTGACAGCAGCTGGCTTCAATCTAATCCTTCATACAACTCCCCTAGTCCACGCCGGCTATAAGCCAGAAGCCTACTCAAAAGCAACTGCAATTAAAGTACAGCGGTCCCTGGCCGCACCTCTCCACACCCCATGGAAAGCCGAACTCCATATGTATATTTCATAGCTCGGGTCCTCCAAGGATGCAATAAGTCCAAAAGAGATGGTCCTAAACCCAAGGCCACAAGGCGACAACTTACCTGACGCAGCCCTACATTTGAAGCCCCCAATGTTGCAACAGTATTTCCCTAGCTCAAACCCATGTAAAAAATGAAGGGCCATGCCTTGAACACTAAATCCGAGGCCCAAACCTTGTACACCCTGAACGCCAAATCCTCCAATCCCAACCCCCCTGCCTCCTTCTGTATCCATCCCTGAGGCTCGTCGGTCTTGCCCTCCTCACCAGAGGCACGCAAACAAAGTCCCCCAGAGGAACAACGTTTTCGGCTCTCTAGGGATTTTAAATAGGAAATATAGAGGGATCGGTGGAAGCATGTCGGGGAAAGGGAATAAGGATACATAATTATGGTAGTTAGAAAATTTGGGCCGTAATTGCTCAACACACCCTGTTGGTTTGTCGAATGGCGCCATTTGTTGTTTTATGTTGTTTGGTGAGGTGATCGGGTGCAAGGTAAGCCTCAGGGCACTGCTTTTGGGGCTTGAGAGGCTGTGTTGCGACCTTTCTGGAGAGTTAGGCCTGAAGGTTTGGGTTCGCGATAGATTGCTAGGGCTGTGCGCTGCGCTTTCCATGGCAGTGGAAACAGAGAATTTAGAAAGCTATTGAAGTTGATTGAATCCTTGGAAACGATGACATACCCATCCTGCACCCAAGTCCTTGGCAATGCAAGAATATCTATCCCTTACCTGGCGCGAATGCTCTCGGATTTCTTCCTCGTTGGTGACTCCGCTAATCAGAGGCTCCATCAAGTATGGCATCTCAAGCCGTACTGCAGCCCATGGGATGTTGCACAAATCCCGGAAGTCTCCCCGAAATCTCGTTGTCACGGAATAAAACTAAAGCTTCAGAGCTTGACGAAAGGCCCCCACACTAAAAACATGAGGCAGCTTTCCCCTCCCTCTCCCAACTTCATGTCGCTGGGGCAGGGCAGTCCTGGCAACTTTTGTCGTTGCTGGGTTTGGACTTGGCCGCACCTTCACCTCGCCAACCAGCATGCTGACATGGGAACTTTTACTTACAAGCACCGCCCAAACGACGCCGACTGAATTCCCTGCTACCCCCTGTAAACATGCATGAGTGTACACATGTACAACATGTGCAGATATGTGTAGCTTTATCTGTGCGCACGCATGCCCATTTTTTCGAAGGCAAGCAAGCGACTCTGCAACACTCAGGCCATGACCAGACAAATGTCCCTCCTGTCTGAATTCGCTTGCTTAAGATCTGTGATTTTGGAGTATGCCGACCCTGTGGTGTTCGTGTGTGTTGGTGCATGTGTTCCGTTCAGACTTTGTCTCTGCTCAGAGGCCTCGGAGTTTTCAGAGATGGTGCTTGGGACTTTTCATGAGCGTTCAGCCGAAGGTTGAACGGCTTTGTGGGAGCCGTCTCTTGGAAAAGAGCAATTTCGGTCCTCCTCATTCGGGATTTGTCAAAACGACCTGCCTTCTGGACTTTTCTAACCTTCTGACTGCAGCAGCAGGCTGCATGTGGTCCATTTGTGATTCACGTAGCGGGCTGCAGGAAACCCGAGGCGGGGAGGCGCGTCCAAGGGCGGTCTATGTCCCCACACTTGTGCGCAAAAACGGAGACAAGACAACACTGATTCAGAATGTCACCAGTTTTCTCAATAATGATTTTTGGCGTTGATTCTGCGATTGACCCTATCGTAAAATGTCCTGGCATGCTTTCTGAACCCCTGATGCGCAAACAACAGCTCGGGTTGATTGTATCGAGAGGGCCCTACAGAGAGCTTGAGTCCAAGGTGGCGTTCGAGTCTGTTGCAACTAGTGTGTTTACCGTGCCGGCCGCGAACCTTTTGTTGCGTGTTTTACTGTGCGCTCGCAACCCTTCTTCTGACATTCCCTTCATGCCTCTGTTCACTACATGCTAGCTCCTGCGGACGATCCTCTAGTGCAAGCGCAGTGCTCTCGTAATGTCCTGTGGCATTGACCGCCACCCTTTCAATCAGGGGTTCGGAATAGTATTCTCCCAAGCAAGTAACCGTCCGGACCCGCCAGTCAATCTCAGCCTTTCTGCTCATTATTCCCTTCCAAGGAAAGTTTGCTGATTTTCTTGACCTTTATAAATCGAAACTTGTCGTCACCATGGGCTACAAACCTTGGGGACATAAACCCCCTTTGTCGCGGCTGCCCCGCCTTCTTGCGTTTTTACGGCCCCTCCACCTTCGACTCAGGTGGACTTTTGAACCAAAACATCATGAGGGGTTTGTCGCAGAGCCGACTAGGTCATGACTGAGGATCAGGCCCTGTCGGGCATCGCCGGACCACTTGGGCGTCGCCTCCCTGCCAAGAAGAGGATTCAGACTGCCTGCACCCTGATAAGAGAGCCGCCAAGTACAGTCACGAGTCAATGATGGATTAATCAAAGGACTGTAGGACTGCCTGAAAGCTGTCATTTAACAAAAGCTCAATTTATGTAGGGTTTGTGAAGGCTCTTGTTTTCTGCCATGGTTCGGGCAGAAACGAACTATCAAGTCTGAAACGAATTTGCATCTGTGAACTACCAGTCAGAAAGCGGGCCTGACAGTGGCCGGCCCGTCCTTTCATTACAAGGATCTCATTATGATTGTCCGTTTTTGTAGGGTGCGGGGCAATTGCTAAACCTACACGCGCTCCGCCCACGTCACTGATGAGGTAGCTATACACCGGCCGGATATTAGAATCCAAGTGTGCCGCTCGCTAACTTCTGCAGAAATTTATACAGCAGAAGAAGAAGGCGGGTTTTGTGGGACGTGGATATAGATCCCGCTGTGAGACCACGAAGGAATACGAACAAATGCAAATAATCTGCGAGCACAGTATTCCGAGGGCACGGACTACTGTTTTGAAATGTCGAAGTTGTCGGCCTTTCCACCAAGTGAACGTTCTTTCGCTATTCGTGAGAACTCCAACTGTAGAAGTCGGAAGCTATCCGCGCACGAGGATTCCGCACTCTCAATAGATCTCCTTTATCAAGGTATCATCCATATGTAGACCTGGAATCTCTTGCAAAAGCCCTCAGAAAAGACCCAACTATCTTACCTGCTTTTGACGCGCTACTGTCCCGCCTGCTATGAGTCAAGTGCTCCCTTAAGATGACCTTCCAGGCCTGGCGGGATAGAAGCTTTGGCAAGCAAAAGAAGTGAAACAGATGCAAGTTCAGCTCTATTGTCATTGTTATGCTTCTTATTTCGGTTATCACCATTGTTATGATCATGGTTGTTACTATTCTGTTTGAGTATTACTGTTATTAGCTTTACATTTAGTATCTGTTAGACCGAGATGCGAGGTGATACCAAGTCCATTGCAGGCCACGCAAGGCAAGGCAGGAAAGTGCCAGTTGTAATACTAATAGCAGTGATATTCATAAAAGTAACAACAATAATCATGGTCAAGAGTTTGGGCAAAACAGGTCCTAATGTGCTCGTAAGCAGCACCCCTGCGTATAGGGGGCAGTTGGTGGGGTGCCTTCTTGGTTGGCCTGTTTTACAATGAGACATCTGCCCTTGGCCCCAGCCAGTCACCCTGCTGCGTAATTTTACGTTTAGCCGCGCCCAGTTTCTACTTGTAGCTTGCCGAGCCTCCCAGGCTATGCGATACTTCCAAGTCTACCTGGCATTGACCTCGGAATGCAGAAATATCTTGTGGGCTTTTTTGATCAGACCTGCATACTTCAATCTTGCTACGGCCTGGCCAAAGGCATGAGCGATTATGTACGGCTGTAAAGCCTTGGGGGTGGCTGGTAAAAGCGGCGTCACATGTCACCTGCTAACCATTTCTAAATGAAGCCTGCTGAGCGTAGTCGTGGCTCAGACGTCAAATTATCACTTCAAACTTAAACCCCAGTGAGGACTGTGATGATAAACAAACCAAAGGCTACGCGGCATCAAGATCATGCCGATCTCAGCCTGTTACTCTCATCAGCATAATCATCATCATCATCATCATCATCATCCTGCTTCGGGGCTGATGTGGGAGGCAGCCGCCTGAACGAGTTCGCGAGCCTTATCGACCACCTGCGCCTGCTTGCCAGAACCCGAAGCTTTGGGTCATTGGGTGCATGGGGTTTCAAATTCGAGGGTCTGGGGTTCAAGGGCTTCGGGCCCGGGGTGTACAGTAGGGGTGCTGAG